ATTCACCATGATCCCCCAAAAGTTCACCGGGTTTTTTATGCAGCTTGAAAAATACTCATAGTGCCATATTCTACATATAATCAGATTCCTCAGTGAGCTCAACGTAACTAATGTAATATTGAGCACAGTTAATTTACCAAGTTGGCCGCTGCATGGTCCTTTTTTTTGGTGTTTCCGGCTTGGTCAGCCTTCATGCTCATCCCCAAGAAAGTCTTACGTGTTTTAACCCTTTTAGACGCTATATACACAACTGTGTGCATCACTCGTTCTTGCTATTTGCAGCAAGTAGATGCTAAGGAAAAGAAAAATATGTAGTACTTTGGTATATATATTACTTGGTACTAGACAGTTATTGTCACGATGTCGTACATGGACGAAAGGAGCAGACTGCTGGGGGAATAATTGTTTATTTTTACGTGGCCACAAGTTAGGCCCGAATAAAGTCAGCTTACACCAAGACACTGGCACTGACAGCGGCGAGCAGAACGTCGGCTGTCGATCAACTGACAAGCGCCGAAGCGTGTCGGCATTTACACACTCGCCATCGAACGTTCTAGCGTTATCGGTAGTGGTGACGTAAATTCCAGAATAATCTGAAATGCTCAAGACGTGGGCGTAATTTCAACAAAATTATCTACGGCAGCCGTGAAGCTTCTCGAACACTGTAGGCGCGGTTTTCGCTGAGAATCGTGTGCAGCGTAAGGGAGTGATAAAAAAAACTCGAGGAAGGAACGTGGCAATACATAGTACATCTTGCAAATAAATGTGTCCTTATTTGATTTCGCTTTGCAGTGTGGCGATACATATTATCACTTTTCATAAAGCTACCACGTTGGACAAGTCGTGCGACGTGCCACGTCTTGCAACCAACGTGAAAAGCATAATTTTTCTTTGTTAAAAATGGACATAACCAAAAATGAGGAGGAGGAGAAATAAATGAGGAAGGACAGGGAGAACCAAAAATGAATTTTGCCTATATTCCTAGCCTGACATTTTATTTTGTTAATGTGAAAAGTAAGCAGTATTGACTTCACGGTAAAGAAATATTTAATGGCAACCTAATTAGTATGAGTCCTTACAGCACCCATGAATGCTACAATTATCTCATTATTCTTTTTGCAATAAAATATTGAGTGCCTTGAAGTGACGTTGTAGTGATTTGACGCATTTACAAACAGTTTTTAATAGGCTGCGCCTGAAAGGGTTAATAGGAGCCTTTCAAGCTCCGATATCCCCTGATGTGTTTGCTTTACCGCAGTCAGTTCGCCGAAAACCGGTGGAAAAAGCTGAGGCCCTTATTCCACGTGGTAAGGCTCAACGTTTTTCTGACGTCCTTACTAAATGTCGTGTTCTGCATGAGCTATCGCAACCCGCGATATGCTTCCAGTACGCTCCCAGTGATAAAAATGGTGGTAGAGTCCCTCTAACAGCAACGGTGAGCCCCTCTCCACCAGTCATGACAGGAAGTTGGCTTCCCAACATTGCGAAACGTGGGAAGAAGTTGTGCGCTGTTTCCGATACATTTGGAACAGATAAATACGCTGCACAAGGTTCATCATACCGAAATATGACGTCATGCAAAAGTTGAGAATTATCATGCGCGATAAGAGCCTGAACTTTTTTGACTCGTTTTCGACATGCATTGCGGGGAGGCAAGCTTACCTGGGTAGGCGAAGGTACAGAACACGTGTTCTTCATGTCCGCTTGCTGCAGTCACTAAAAACTTAATCAATAAACTTTATTGGTATAATATCTAACGCAATTAGAGTTAAGGAGCTAGTTTCACAGAAAATGATCGTCTTGTGCGTGACCGAAAAATAAAGATACAAATAAGGTGAACATAAACAATTCCGCGTCCGTGTGATTATCGAACCCAGGTCGATTGCGTAACAACCAGGTGCTCTACAGTTAAAATATACAGTTAAAATAACGTTCATGTTTTACAGACACAGGCGTCCTTATACAGACCTTCACAATACAAAATGTAGGTCAGGAATGGAGTAAAATGCGGCAAAATTTTAAAATAGTGGATTTTTCTTTTGATTTCACCCCTTTACATGTAAACAACAATGCAGAAACTTTCCTTTGATTGCAAGGTATATGTGGTCCATAAACATTACCTAGTTGCCACCATTAAAAACATTATTTTGAAAATAAATAAAAATGCTACAGATGTCTCATTTTCCCCAACCGGTGGCGCCAACAAGACACTGCGTGGGGCCAAACAATACAGCGTGGAAAAAATCAATCCTTCAGTTTTTGCACTAGAAAGACTTGAAATTTCCTCTGTGGGCTCTTACAGTCTTGAGGAGCCCTGTCCTTGAACTCCACACAATGAATCTAGAGAGAACGCGGTGTTGTGTACGTGCGAAACACCCTGTAGATCAAACACCGCCAGTCTTTCTTTGCGCCAATGTTGTCTTTTGGTGAACGATTGTACCTCATTTAATTATTCAACGATTCGGGGCTTGCTATGTTTTGACGTATCCTTTTCCCTCTTTCTGCTCTTTTGATGCAGAAGGCGTTTCATGGCTTTTAACTTCGTGCACCGGGCTATATGGGGAAATGAATGAACTGTGCTATATTCAGCTTTTTAGCGCTTGTTTTTTTAATTATAGTATTGGAGAAACGTGCCTAAGACTCAGTCCCAATACGTGTTTGTCACTGACTTGACTTGGAGGTTCCACCATTTTTATGCATCTCTTGAGAGCATCTTTAGGAAGACAGAAAATCTTTGATGCAGCGCGAATGAAATGAATCATGTCCTGAACGGCAATCAGTGCTTTGTCATCTGGTTTTCTTTTCAGGAAGCTCTATATGATATTTTTTTTTTAAGTACAAGCCCTCCTAAACAAATAAATATAGTATATAATGAGTATAGGTTTATAGTTCAAGTAAAAAGACACTCTCCAAGGCAGTTAGTCCTTTTTGTCGCGTTCTGCCCCTCTCACATGCCAGAATTAAAAAAAAATTACAGCTTTGTCCCCGGGCACCAAATAAACTAAAACTTCGTGTTATATAGCTTGTAGCATAAAGTAACAAGATAAATATTTACGGTGTTGTACTGACGCAGGAGTAACTTCATGCACAGATTCAAAAATTTGGCCGAGAAGAATTTCGCCCTTTTTTTATAGGTCACGAACACACTGTCACCTCGCAATTTTTCCCGCCCGAACGCTGTGAGCAATCATCCACTTTTGCACATGAGAATGTAAAAAAGGACCAGCACATATCGCTGAAAAAAAAATGGATATAAGTAGTTTTTGTGTTACCTACAGAGGCCGGCAAAATCAAATGTTGCGTTTTGACCCGTGTTTCATTTTAGCCCACCCTACCCTAATGCCGCAATAATATTGAGTGGTGCAAGCGTATATTGTCATCGGGCTTCATAACATGTGACTACTATACTACATGGTTTCAAGCCAGCCACCCATTACAAAACTCACACACGCTACTGCGCGTACTGCCTTTAACACATATTTAGACAGTTGTCAATCAAGTGTGGTCAAGTACAAACATAGAGCGTGCATATACAATGACTGTCTGGCAGCCGTATTCGAAGCAGCGAAGTCCCGTGGCTGATGTTGAAGCCCCACACCACTGCGCAATGGCCACTAGCGAATTCGTAGTTCGTACATTTGGACAAGCAAAGATCTGCCACCCGCATGTCACACTACAAATAGTGGAGAAGGAGGAATAAACTTCCTCTTTCTGCACTAGAAATGGGACTTGGAATAGGGGGAAACCAAGTTGAATACGGGCTTGTGTTCCAGAGGGCCGGGAACAGTGGTTTCGGCTCCTTGGCAACGGCACGCCATCTGTGAACACTCAACGGAGATGACTGGCGCTCAAAAAAGAGAAAAGATGCATTGCACTCGCTGCACACATCACAGATGTCGCTGAGAATTGAAGATTCGTATAGTGTGCAGTGCTGCTGTTCTGCCGACGCATGGTTAATATCAGCTCCACTGCGAAGCTTGTTAAAGATGTTAGGAGGCAGTAAACACGGTATTCAAACATTCACAAATTCAAGCAGCGATATTGAATGAGATAACAAACGTAAACATGTCTGCCCCTTGGAGAAATTTCTCAGAAAGAAAATGTCATGCTACACAGGAAACTGTTTTTCGAAAAAAGCTTGAAATAAAACACACTCATGACGGGAACATGCTCTGTTTAGCACTGACGTGTTTCTGTACATGATGTGTAAAGTGAAGCAATAAGAATACTTGCGGAATACACGCACAAATGTTGAAATATTCACAAGACCATGACTACGCTTGCAGGCTGCAGTAATTTCCCTATATAATGTTCAATCAATGTTGGCACCATTAGATGACGCCAGCTACTCCTCTGTCAATGAATCTTGTGTGCACATATGTGTAATAAATCCCACATACATTACCTCTACAAACAAGCATGCATACATATATGTATGGCTTTAGCGCACGCTTGCGTGAGCGCTCACACGCACGTGTGTGTGTGTGTGTGTGTGTGTGTGTGTGTGTGTGTGTGTGTGTGTGTGTGTGTGTGTGTGTGTGTGTGTGTGTGTGTGTGTGTGTGTGTGTGTGTGTGTGTGTGTGTGTGTGTGTGTGTGTGTGTGTGTGTGTGTCGCATGCCCACGCTCGGAGTAATCTGAGTTTAGGATCTCCAGTTATTACGCATCTAATTCTTCTACGGAGAGAGCCCTTTCTCAATCAACTAATATCAGTACCAACCACGATACTTGCGTGATACGCATGATAGCCAGGACGCTATCGTAACGAAACGATAGCTGATGTAGCCAAGTTTTCTTTTGGGCTAATATGAGGATGCAATGCTCGAAAAGATAAGTAGTGTTACGAGAACTGAGCTCGTGCTCTTATGCGTGTAACCGTAAGGGGAAGGGACAAGGTTTATGACCCTGCCTATAAGACCTGAGATACGGGCACCGGCCGAAATGCCGGATTGCAGATTGGGCTCGCTGAAAGACTCTGCCTGCGTAAAGATAAGCAGGTTCCCCAGGGCTCTCATACATTGCTAGATTGCCTTGACGTTGTGTAAGACGTCTGCAGACGAGAAACGTGAACTCTTTCACATCCTGTTTGTGTCACATTTGTGTCACATTTGTGTCCAAGTAATGCCTCCAAACTAAGTCGGCAGGTACTGTAGCTCACCAGCTGTTCGGTGGCTGCACTTGCAATGGAAGCTGGATTACTCCTACTTGCTATTGTGCTTTGGACCACGGAATCCAGTAAGTGCACCTGGCGGCGTTCAAATTAAATAATTATAGCAGACAGTTTTGAAACTACTTTGACTTTCACACGTTAACGCATTATTTAGGAATGCAATTCTCGCAAGCAACTGCACCTCGAGGCCTCGTTATGAAGTGAAGTAAGGCTACTTCCCCTTCCATACATTCAACGACATATTCAATGTCAGGACAATCGTTTCAGATTTATTAAGTAGTGATTGCTCCATATTTCGCGTGTCAGGGCTTGTTGACATTACCAGAACCTGACACAAATACCCCGTTGGCATAATTTGGATCTATCTTCGTCATTCTCACCGTTTCTCTAATTGTAAGCACAATGTTTCAAAACATGCTTACTAAGAGTATAAAAAGAAAAGCATGAGAACTTGTTGATAAGGCGTGGTAATAAACATACAGCACAGAAACAACACCAGAACGAAAGGAAGGGGCGCCTTTTTTCGACCTTGTGTCGCTTCAGCGCTAAATATCCATTGCGAGACTTCCCTCATTGGTTATTCACGTGACACGGTGTGCTATTCTTACCTGTCGATATCCCCGTCATAAGGGCACCCCTTCCATGTAGAACTTACGAAGGCAATGGAAGGGTAGCTTGCATTCACCGTAACACCTGCACACCACCTTTTCTGTGCAAGTGCAGTTCATACATAATGTCACAAGTGTGCTATGGATCCAAACACGAGGTTAGTGGCCGCGGGTACAGCTATCCAACCATGGTGGCGCACGGTGCCATGACAGTAAACAGGCCTGTATGTTTATCGACAGCTTTTTGCACCTATGCCAAGGCTCCTGTATTTTGTTACATATTTTATATGCAGAAATTGATTTAAGAACAGTGGCACGTATTCCTAATCTATAAAAAGCATTACTATGTTATGATTGATCGTCGAAACCAGCTCCAGCCCATAATAAACGTTGACGGACTATTACTGACAGCGCCAGACCTTTGGTAAGTACAGCTTACGGCAGAAAAAGGTTTACAAAACTTGTCTTGATATAGCTAATTTACCGAATGTTCATAAGATCGATCTTTCAAGGGACCCATAGAGCGTACTTCAGACAGTCGATATTCCGAAAGCACTGTCTGTGAAATGTTGTGTACGAGCAGAAAATATATAAAAAAGCAAAAACTTTGTGAACTCGGCCTAATACTTGATTTCCTTTCAGCCTCCTGATAGCTGATAGCGGCAAATGCTTAACATGAATATATTTACTCGGCCCAAGCATGGGCAGTGCAGTGTGGCCACCGGAACCTGCTGTACGACACCGAGCGCATCGTAGGCGGAAGCGACGCTGGTCCCTTGGAGTTTCCTTGGCAAGTGTCCGTGCAGGTGTTCAGCAGTCACCAGTGCGGGGGTGTCATTATTGACAAGTACTGGATCCTCACCGCTGCGCACTGCATGAAGTGAGCTTGGGTTTTATTTCATATGTCACTGTTGCATGTTGCCTAAAGAGCATTGGCGTATTACTAAAACGAAAAATAAATAAACATACATGAACGCAGTCCTACCGTATCACTGCTGCATGTTGCTTGAAGAACATACATTGACTACTTCAGCCAAATAAAAACTAATGGCTTGACCAGCGCAACACTCTCCTGAAAACCTCAGTCAGCCCGCCGTGGTGTTCTAGTGGCTAAGGTACTTGGCTGCTGACCCGCTGGTCGCGGGATCGAATCCCGGCTGCGGCGCCTGCATTTCCGATGGAGGCGGAAATGCTGTAGGCCATGTGCTCAGATTTGGTTGCACGTTAAATAACCCCAGGTGGTCGAAATTTCCCGATCCCTCCACTACGGCGTCTCTCATATTTATATGGTGGTTTTGGGACGTTAAACCTCACATATCAATCAAAACTTCAGTCTCTGAGTTCGTGCAGAACGCAAAGAAAACTAGTTAAGTGGTAGGTGGCTACTTAAACTGCTTGCAGGCAGCAGTATACAACTGAAGAAAGAGACCAATACCAAATATGCTGCTGTTTAAAAGAACAAGATGACTCCGTGTCTTATTCCTCTTATTTACAGTAGCTTTAGCCAATTTTTAACTGTTGTCAATAAAGACACCTTATTGCATCTTCTTCTATGCAACCATGCGCACACGATCCAATATGTTAGTGAGGAAAGTGCCACGTATTCTTATTGGAAAAATAATAAATGGTCTGTCTTACTTCAACGAAAATCAAAACAGAGAAGACTTTTTCAAGTTGCGCATTGTTAGACAATAACTTATCTGTGCAATGTTGATCCGTTAAATATTTTTACAAAACGAGTATTCTAAAAATTAGCAACAAATGTTTGCTGTTAATTACGTACTTTCTTCATATTTGGTACTTATAACTCATTTTCAAACATAAAACCAAGTACTGCCACCAGTTATCCCTTTTTTTTGCATAAGCTCCTTTATCGTCCAATCAAAAAATATTTCCTCACTTCTGCCTGACCATACACACTATGAACAGCGTGCCAATATCACTAGGGCGTGTTTCTTGAGGCTTACTGGTTGCGTCTGCTTTGCGCAAATTTTCGACTATTTCCAGTTTCACCTTCTACTGATATTGTGCCATTTGTTTTACGCTGTGCTTTTACTTCAGATACTCGCCGTTTTTTTACAAGGTCTACGTGGGCAAGGACCACTTGTTTCGAAAGGAATTGACGGAACGCTATTATTACGTATCTGAGGTGAGAAACGTTGCTAGTCTCGGCGTATAAATGTTGTTTCTATAGTTCATGTTGAACGCTGAATGCTGCTGATACTCTCGTGTCATTTCTTCTCAGATTATAAAGCACCCGTACTACAGCGAATCTACAGTTGATTACGACATTGCTCTCGCAAGGCTCGACTTGCCGCTGGATTTCGTTCTTGACGATTACCTCAGCCCCATTTGTCTGCCAAAGCCATCCGCATATTTCACCGGCCAAACTTGCATCGTAACGGGATGGGGCTACCCAAGAATCGGTGAGTGCGAAATACGAGAAATTAGTTCACCTATGCAAGATAAGGCCTCTCTTGTGCAGTCAACTGCACGCATAAGGTCGTGTTTCTTGGTATTTTTCCCACACACACTTGACAAGCTAAGCAAGAGCTTCACTACAATTTTATTTGCGCAGATTTTTTTTTTCATGTTAAGCTTGCATCTTATTTTGCCACCGACATACTAGACATTTTTCAGCAGTACTTTTAAATATTTTTGTTATGAACAGTGATGTTTCCTTCTACGGGATGCAACACAAAATCATGAAATACACTTTTGTACAACAATGATTTAAGTTTCCAAAACTACTGTAGAAACTAGTGAACAGACCCAAGTAAATCACCTCATAAACAATAACGTAATAGCTGATGGTGCAGCATTTTCATGGTGGTATCACTACGTTTCTATCTTTTAGCTCCTTTATATAATTTTGTCAATTGCATTGCCTTGTGCGAAAATAAGCACGTCTGTTCTGTTGTTAAAAAAGTCTACTTTTTGAACACTTCTCTCGCATAATGTACAATTTTAGTGTTTTGTTATTGAATATTACGAAATGAATACAAAAATTTGTCTTCCGAAAAAAGCCAAATCACAGATAAGTGCAGCATCTCTCCTCGACCTGAGTTGGTATCTTTATGTCTCCTAAAGATGGATCAACGACGGACGTGTTGCAAAAGACGAGCCTCGACGTCTGGAAAGATGGCGACTGTCGAAAAGCTTACGAAGATGTGAACAACGTGACCGACAGAATGTTGTGCGCCGGCTATGAGGAAGGTGGCAAGGGACCGTGCAAGGTGACTCATCACCTGTTATTTTGACTGGGCCAAGTCATGAATGCTTATACATGTGACAGTTATGCGAAATGTGAGAAACGCAGCTTGATCAAATACTATGTACGCTGTGTCCTTAAAGACAGGGTGCGCTTCTTACTGGTCACAGGAAAGCAACGACAAGATATGAATATAAAATGTTGATCAAATGAAAACTCCACAAGTTTTCTTAGTAGGATGTTCAAAGTTGTCTGCATCATACGCTGCCCCGCGAAATATGCAGCAGTGGATCAGTCCGTCCTCGTGGCAAGCAACATGTGCGAGGGGCAAAGAAAAGATGAGTGCGTTCAGTAGGTTGCTAAATTCTGACGCCATCAGGGTTCTATTGGTGACGTTGCGTGTGACAACATGCGTGTTGGGGGCATATCGAGGGCATTATTTATATTAAACAGGAAATAAATCACCTTATTCGTTTCGTTACACCAAAATGTTCTTGACCGAGTGTGAGACTCAGTTGCGTATCATACGCGTAGAGAAACAAATGGGGGTCCTGACAAACTGCACAGAAAACGTATGAAACTTGGAGTGTCTTTCTTTCTGTTTGGTGCAAACTTCAAATGTGTATCTTGTTCTGTTGATTTCCTGCGGCTGCTGAAAAATGCACATGCACTCCAGGAACACAGTGTAGCGTTAATCAGCATCGATCAGGTCGAACGTTTTTCTGACGACACCTTATCGTGAAGCAAATTCATACGAAGCTGATCGGGGTTTGTAGAACAATAATTTAGTTACTAACTCGGCCAACATTAAAAAAAGAAAGCATTTTTGGGGGGTTGGGCAGGACTCAATGCCCTCTTCCCCCGGCTTCGTCCGAATGAAACTTGCAGACTCCTTTTTGATAATGCTTATTCATTCCAAAATATTTGCTTTAGAATATATTTCTGGTAGCATAAATAAAAGATATACAAGCATAACTTACAAACTATTATACAAAAATATAACTGAGACCAATCCCACAATGAAACAATAATTATTTCCCCCTAAATCAGGCGGAGTTCAGTAAATTCTGCTTTCTCGCATAAGAGCCGCACCTACTAATTAATGTTGACTAACGATTGGATAATGTTGCCGGGCAAATTATCCAACATAATTGTTCCTTAAGGGAACTGCGGCATTGCAATGTTTTTTTTTCTGATTTACTTGTTTCAGCTACCTATGCGTTTTTCTTTACTTTTTCATTTTGTTTTCGGGTAACCACATTATTTTCACATCACAACCTACAAAAATGAGATGCCAATGTTACATAAGCCCCAATCTTTCCACGGCAAGTAGTTAGAACATAACGGAACTGCCGCAACGTTTGTTGCATTAGTTTTTTTCTGATTAGTTATGCCACTACGCATAGCTTCCTTGTGCTAACACGTAGCATTCTCTCCACAGGGAGACTCCGGAGGTCCCCTGCAGTGCGTCCGAGATGATGGATCCTGGGTCCTGGCTGGAATCACTTCGTGGGGAATATCCTGCGCAGCAGCTCACAGGCCGGGAGTTTTTACACGTGTTTCAGCTGTGCTTGACTTCATCTACCTCTTCACGTACTGAACGTTTTGCGTACGTAAAGATTACGTTTGCATGCACTCTTCGTTTACGAACAGGGCCTAAAGGAGGAAACGTCAAAGTCAGCTGCCACGAAACCAACGACCCAAAGGCTTGTCAGTACTGTCCAGTTTGATTGAAGTAAACCCATCACTCCCATGAAGTGTATTCGATACAAACGCAAATAAGACTGAGCCAATCATATATGTCGCAATACTCGCTACGCCGCCTTCTACTGCAGTGAGCTAGAAGCCGAAAATAAAATATACGCTAATAAAGACCAGTTTCACTGTTGACAAATGACACGTTTCTCATTTGCTCGTTGTAAGTTTTTTTTCTCATCACCTTTTTTTTCGTTTTGATTTGTTCGTTTGAAAGCATCTTTATCTCTCTGTGTCAACGACATTGAGTAGCCTGAGGCATGCTTATTTAAGTATATGCAATTTGGCCCTCCGTAAATATATAAACAATTGAAACTAAGAAAGTGTGCAGAGTTGCATAGCAATAGAATTTCTTTGCTGCTGTCAATCAGTCAGCATGACGTTGTAGTTTCTCAACTTCGTCCTTATCTATAACCTTGTCCGCACCAAACCATGAGCATAATATGGTGTTTGTGTTGAAATACTACCCCTTATGTAACACCCTCTTCAGAGGACCTTTTATAAGGACAATAAACAGAGTTGGATTGTGGTTGATGACATAAACCGATAACTCAATTGTCTCTTTTCGCAACGACAAAGTCGTGCCACTGGCCTTGCATGGAAATAAAACAAGGTCGTTGTTTCTGTAAAACGACTATGTTACATGTAGGTGAACAAGATTTGCCTGTCACAGAAGCTACTGGGAAGTAATGTAGGTTGCTTTGGGGACTTGTATTGTTGAGTATTCTAAACAAAAACGCATTGAAGCTTTCTTACACTTACTGACGCTCTTCATTCAGCAAGTCCATGCAAACTAGGACTACGACCCTAGAGCGATTCAAAATACACAAAAGAAAACGTTATTTTCTTGTGTAAAAAGTACTTACAATATCAAAGCCCTTATTTTTCGTGCAGACAAGGGCAGCAATATAGGAATGTGGAAAAATATTGCACTTATTTTCAGTGCTTTAAGAATACTCTTTTTTTATTAAGAAGTAATATACTCCAAAGCAGACGAAAACAGATCGCGTACTATTTACGGCATCAAGAAGCTGACGATATGTCTTCAGACCGATGAAAGAAATGTAGCAAAATTATATTTGCTTCGAATCCTAACAAGAAGACCAACAGGTAGCAGGTCACTTATAGTTAAGTGCGTAATCAGGGAATGAGGAGTGTAAAGCAAGCTTCCAAGGTTCTTTGTGTAGAACTCAGACTCCTGAGCTCGTCTGGACATGCATTTCCAGTCATGATACGTAATAATGTAGTGGGCAGGCACAAAATATGTAACAGGACACCGGGAACAACTTTAGTCATGCTTTGCTAAACTGGTTGTGACTTGACCACTTACTTAATTTCCAACTGTGATGCTTCAAATCCAAGCATTTATACTTCAACAGAGCACGTCGATTAGCTTCTGAGCTCAGTCGATAAAGAAAAATTGTGAACTCTAGTGTCACACGATTGATCACCTACTCTAAAGCGAAGATGCAACAGACATCATCACAATCGTTAGCACCTCATTTTTACGTCTCTGCTCCGCCCTTCCTCGTCATAGTCATTAAGTCCGTCGCTGTCGGGTATTGTGTTAATTTATACGAGGTTCCTTTCTTTGAATATATGGGTTGGCATTCAACGTGACGAGTAAATACCAGGAGGCTATTTTTATCCCACATACTTGACCTATCGTTTTTACTTCAGCCGTGACAAATGAAACGTTATCACACACCTTGCTATGTGCACGAGTTTACTTCTGCCAACGTTCGGTGAACAAAGGAGTGTGAATCATGAAAGCGGGTGAATCAAGCGTTATGAAAAAATAAATACATGAACCTAACCAGCTCCGAGTGTTTCTTACCATATCTGTCAACATTTCTGTGCTAGGTGATACAGTATGTTTTATTTAGAGTCATTCATTTCGTGAGAAACGTGCCAGATGCATTCACCCAGTGACTAGCCGTAGCAAGCATCTCACAGCCAATGATGCAGTTGAAGCCAGTTTTACTTTAAATGGTGATAGTAGGGTTCAATAAGGACGAACTGTCAACTCGGTGCAGGCACGATAAATAATAGCGTTGAACCTTACTTCTAACTTTTGTGTCAAGTATCACCACTTCGACAAGAAAACTCTTTCAGCCACACAATCTAAAGCTGACAGACTAGGACATCAAACAAAGCGCTTCATGAGGTACAAGAAAATCTTGTGTGAGTGATGAGGCAGCACCAAAAGTGGCGTACAATGAAGCAACTGACGCTGTTACGTTAACTTCTGCAAAAAATGCCAAGATGTAACTTGACTGTATCGACTCAGATGTGGGTGCCTTCGTGACATAAGTGTTACAATCACATTTCCGGAACTCTTCCTGTGGGTAGCAAAATGAAAGTGCCAGACGTTAGTGCTCGTGCCAAACACATCCCACTGCAAACCGACTTACTTGAACGCTGTGCGTTACGATGTGTGAAGACAAAATATGAAACCAGAACATCGCCATCGCTGCACACACTCAACTATCTGTACTCACACTATCTCGTACTATTGATGCAACAACAAATGATCCAGCGTCAAAACTCGATCACCACGGCACGGACAAGATCTTATACCGTGCTGCTCGCTACAGAAACAGAAGCAAGTCTAACATTTCCGTCCTTCGAGCCAAAGTTAGTACTTATACTATCAACACATCAAGAGGGTATGGTCGTGATTGTGAAGTAGGCGCAACAAACACCTCTCAAGCGAAGTTCAGTGGCAGTAGCAACAGCCCCACAATTCCTTGTCAGCGTGATTGGCAACCGATGCGCTTTCTGCACAGAACTAGTTCGAGACAGCACTATCAGCACTATCGCATCCATCGCAGCAAACAACGTAGTTGTGTTCAAACGAAGAGAACTTCGCGCGTTTGCGCGCACTTTTCACTGTGCCCTCCCTAAAATATGTATTCGTGGGCTTCGCTGTCCGGAGTCCTCTGGCCACCGTACACTGTGTTGGCCATGTCGACGCTGAAGTGCGCCGTCTGCTCTAATCGCCTGTTCTGGATTTGAACTCTGAGCAGATCCCCGAGCTCAAACCCGTCCAAGCGCTACTTGATGCGACCGGACGGTGTCCTGAGGCGGGAGCGGTGTCCCGTGGCGGTGTCCTGCGGCGTGGGCTTCTTGGCGACGGTGCGGCGCCGGCGACTGCTCCGTCGATAGCGCAGGATCATGGTCAGGTAGTCGGGCCAGTCCTCCGGCAGCAGCACGAGCATGAAGCCGATTAGGATGAGCAAGATTCCGGCCAGCTTCATGCCTTCGAACAACACTTCGTAGATGTACACGTCTACGACTGCGCAGAGGGAGATAAAAGGGAGATGACGTGTCAGACAGGATACCACGTGATGGAAAGAGGAAATTCTTAGCAACGTGAGCATAAGTTCATAGGCGTTATTCCGCAGGTTGTCGCTTATGTCATAAACATGGGTCCGCATAATACCTAGGATAGTTTTATCAAGTATTTTCAGTAGCCCCTAGTGTCGCTTTTGTAGTAAGTTGTTTGCCTAGCGACAATAGCAACAAAGTAAATTCATCTGAAAAAGGTCCCCCTGTGGGCAATATCAATATTTTAGCAGTGAAAAAGCCTATTTGAGCGTTATAAAATTACCGAAGCTTGGACATACCATTTGATTAAGACGGCCATTCATAGCGCTGTACTTTGCCTTAGAAATCAATAGGCGCTGAACTTATCAGTCAAAATCATCCGTGCAAAGAACACAATCATTCTCCGTTTCGTTTGAATTTATGTTACTCATGCAGGTAACGGCCATAACTTTAGAGAATAGGGTGCACGTTTGTCATAACCGAGCCACCGCCATTTATTATCGATCGATTGACCTGTACAGAATCTGAGCCCAATTTCAATGCCAGTATGGTCGTCACATCTTAAGTTTTACGAGCCGAAAGCTGAATATTATTATGCAGCACATCATAGCGGAGAACTCCCTACTCCTTTCCATGAGCTAGAGTTAATCACCTCATGACTTAAACATATAAAGCTTTTCGCGAGGCTGCAAGACCCAAATCGCATAGCACAGCATCATTCACATATGAAGAACAGCTTCTGGCAATTCTGCGCTTAAAATGAGCCAAGTATATAACATGTGCCTCAAGTGAGCATCATTCAGCGAATAGCGCTGTATCAAAAAACACCAATCAGCCTCATTGTTAATGATGAAAAACATTTCTACGAGTATAAAGTCACACTCAAACGCCTTTGCATGTGTTCTTGATTGTTTTCATTTGAAATTATCGCTTAACCTCGATAAAGCAAACGTTTAATAAAAGTTTACTTACTCGCAGAAATTGGCACAGCAAACGCAAGTCCTAATGTGAGGAATATTTCGAAAGTCCAGACGATGCCAAATTTCCGAGCAAATTTGATACTGCAAAAGAAGAAAAAGATTCATATCAACATTCACTCCCACATCATAAATCACAGATTATAGAGCAAGAAATAAGCGATAGTTTCGGGCCGAGATAACGCCAAAAAAGTATGAAAGATAGGCAAAGACTTTCGCGATCTGATTTTTTTTATTGCTTTGTGCGAGTACCACAAGATATCCTTCAACAAATAAATAAATATGAAGTTTTGCCCAGGGCTCGAGGGCCGGCCAACAGCCTACTATTAGGCAGATAACATGTACCAGGGAAATCAGTGTTAAGAGTGGCAACCATTGCACTTCCGCGACGCGTTAAGATCCACCAGAGTCCTTGGAATGTCCACAACTTCTCACTAGATGCGTCAGTAAACAAAAAAAAAAGAAGCACGCTTTTATTGCGAGAATATCTTACAGTGGAAGCAGCCCGCGTTGGTTGCCGTTGAATTTCTAGCTTCAAGGCCTCATTCGACGCTAAATTTCACTCAATTAGAGCTACCCCAAATTTACTTGAAGCTAACATCACTCTGAAGACGTAATCGATCTTAACGGATACGTTTATTCGGGTTTTACAGTTCCGGCGCGCACGGTTGAATTACAGCGCCGAGGCCGCTCCGATGTCCCCGCGCGGGGGACGGCGGCGCCCTCAGTGCTTGCACTTGTCCCTATATCAAACTTTCGCCCAAGCTTGATGACCAGTAAAAGCATTGAAGGATTCTGGTATAGCATCGAAGTTGTGCTCTGAACTTTACGGGCCAAGACCACGACATTACTATGAGGCTCGCCGTAGTGGAGGGCTCCGGAAATTTCGACCGTCTAGTGTTCTTTAACGTGCGCTGAACATGGCGCAGCACACGGACTTCTAGCATCCCGCCTCCATCGAAATGCGACTACCACGGCTGGGATCGATCCATCGGCATGAATTCCTGCCAATTGGGTCAAGGAGAGAGAGAAGAAAAAATATCAGAGAGGTAGGGACGTTAACTAGACTAAGTTCAGTTTGCTACCCAACACGGGGGAGAGAGAAATGAGGGAGAAGGAGAGAGAGTGGAGGAGGTACACATCGCCCATAACACACACACACCACACAAACAATTCAGGTATCACGGGCCGTCGCACAGTGACGTTGCCCTCGAGAATTGTAGAAGGGCTCGTGTGGCTTTCTGGGCAGATCTACGTGAAGACCACGCTCCCAAGATCTCCAGAGTAAACGGTCGGTCATCCAGCCTCCTTAAGGCAGACTAGGTAGTCCGGCGATCTTCTTCAACGTCTGGACAATGGTACCGGACATGGTCGAGAGTTTCTACAGAACGGCACTTATCACAGTTGAAGAATCATCTATACTAATGCGAAGGCCTAATGAATTCGTCAAGGCAACACCGACCCACGACCGATACAGCATTGTAGCGTCCTGTCGCAAAGTATTTGATGGCAGCTGTAATTGAAGTAATGAAGCAAGGTTCGGTGGGCGTCGAGTGGAGATTAGTGAAAGATTCTAATGCATAAGTGTGGTATTATACACGATTCGGCAAAGTTATTTTGCGGAATCAATGCTTGACAAGGGTATGAGCAGTGTGGGTGCTCCGTCGTGGGTACAAAGCGTTGTCAGCAAGGTGGTTACCACCAATCCCACAGTGACCAGGCAGCCATTGAAAGATTATGCCATGTCCTTTGTTGGTGGCGCGATGACAGATTTCATTGATTTGAGATACCATTTGATGGTAGTTCCCTTGTCGTAGACTTCGCACACATTGAAGGGCCCCCGTGGAGTCGCAGAAGATAGCCCAATTAGCAGGGTATTCTCACATAACAAATCTGATTGTGGCTAGAAGGGCGGCGAGCTCGGAGCCCGTAGATGTTGTGACGTGTGAAGTCTTGAACTTGACGGTGATTGACCGATATTTAATCACAAAAGTGCCCGTCGAAATTCCCGAGACTGAACCCCCCATACAGATATGAGTTTGTTTTTCTAAGATATGCAAAAGGTCCAATGAGATCTGCATGAAGGCTGCAGATGACAGGTAAGCCTTTTTGCTAATCCCCGGAAAAAAGTGTATATTTTAAGGGCTCGTTTTTTTGGTTAGGCATAATACTAATGAGATCTAAGAGACAATCATGCCAAGGAAAGTATGGGGGATCTTATTAGCTGCTGGCGGCACTTAAGATATGCCTTGGAGTACCTCGCAGTGCTTCAACGGCTAAAAACATTGCCATCGCTCAAGATCATTCGATAAATACGCATATTATTACCGAGACAATGCGCATGCACCTCAGGCATTATGCCAGGACCCCTTCTCACCACCTGGCGAGCCTAGCTGCTGAAAGGCCCCGCACGACATACGGCACTATTGTCTCCAAGCATCGTTCATCGTTTACTGTGACGTACGCACCTGCATCAAAGCCACTGCTTCCTCCTTGGAGCTTGAGCCGGCCGTGAGTTCACTTAATGATTCCAGGAATGAGGAGAAAATCGGAATTACCGACACATGCCCTGAAACAACTGAGCATATCACTACTGGAAGAAAACTACAGTAACCACCTGCACATTTACACGGATGGCTCTACTACGCCATCTAGTTCAGGTGGAGCAGTGGTTATACCATCACATGGGGTAACTCGGTGTTTTAAGACTTCACATGTGACGACATCAACGACGGCAGAACTCGAGGCTCTGCGCAATGCACTGGAGCTCATCAATTCAGAAGAAAGACCAGGTAAATGAGCTGTGTTTTCTGACTCAAAACCAGCGTTACAGTGCCTGATATCAGTTCTCCGACGCAGATGCCACGACCAGTTGACCTACCAAACCATGGAACTTCACCACCTTTTAATACAAAAAGGCCATGACATCGTCTTTCAGTGGTTACCTGGGCATAGTGGTATAGGCGGCAATGATTCTGCAGATCATGCTGCTCGCACGTCACATAAAGAAGCGAACAGCGTTCCGATACCGCTTTCAAGAGCGGATGCGGCGAGGCAGATTCGTCAACTGGCCCGCAGTCTCACACTGACTGAGTGGAACACACCAAGCATACGACGTACACGACTGCACGAGCTCGACCCTTCACTACAACTCCGGCCTCCACCCGGCCTACATCGACGTGCAGCTTCGCTTCTCTATCGCCTTTGGCTGGGAGTTGCTTTCACGAATGCTTATACCAGGTTAATCAGAATTACTGACAGTGCGGCGTACGTGTCATAATTTGAGAGTGCTTGCCAATCGTGCTCCACCCCATTCTTATTCTTCTAGTTACTTCAATCTCGTGGTTCGGCTCCGCGTTTATTACCTGCCCTAAATAGACATAGTCTTTTACAAATTGAAGTGCATTATTACCTATCTCGAAGCGCTGCTCTCTTCCGAAGTTGTTGTACAATACTTTCGTTTTATGTAGATTAACTTTAAGACCCATCTTTCTGCTCTCCTTGTCTAACTCCGTAATCATGAGTTGCAATTCGTCCCCTGAGTTACTTAGCTTTGCAATATCATCGGCGAAGCGCAGGTTACTAAGGTACTCTCCATTAACTTTTCTCCCTAACAGTTCCCTTTCTAGGCTTCTGAAAAGCTCCTGTAAGCACGCGGTAAACAGCATTGGGCAGATTGTGTCCCCCTGCCTTACACCCTTCTTGATTGGTATTCTGTTGCTTTCTTTATGAAGCACTACGGTAGCAGTTGATCCCCTGTAGATTTCTTGCAGGATGTCCATATATACTTCATCGACCCCCTGATTCCGCAGTGTCTCCATGACGGCTGATATTTCTACAGAATCAAACGCCTTCTCGTAATCTATGAAGGGTATGTATAGTGGTTGGTTGTATTCTGAGCATTTCTCTATAACCTGATTGACAGTATGACTGTGGTCAGTTGTTGAGTGGCCTGTTCAAAATCCTTCTTGTTCCTTCGGTTGATTGAATTCTAATGTTTTCTTTACTCTGTTAGCAATTACTTTTTTAAATAGCTTGTATAGTACAGAGAGCAAGCTGATCGGCCTGTAATTCTTCAAGTCCTTGACATCTCATTCCGTATGTATTAAGATGATGTTAGCATTCTTCCAAGAATCTAGTACTCTTTCCGTCAGGAGACACCTCGTAAACAGGGTGGATAGTTTTCATAACACAATCTGTCCTCCATCTTTAAGCAGATCTCATGTTACCTGATCCTCACCAGCAGCTTTGCCTCTTTGCATGCTCTCCAAAGCTTTTGTGGCTTCTTCTATCATTACTCGTGGGGTGTCATTTGGGTTACTGCGAGTTCCTAATAGTATTAAGGTCGTGCTTGTCCCGGCTACTGTACAGATTTCTGTAAAACTCCTCTGCTATTTTAACAATGCTATCCGTATTGGTAGTTATTTCGCCTTCTTTGTCCCTCAGTGCATACATCCAATTTTTGCCTATCCCAAGTTTCCTCTTCACTGCTTTGACGCTTCCTCCGTTTTTTCAGATTGTGTTCATTTCTCTCCCTGTTACACCTTCTTACATCGCATACCTTACGCCTATTAATCAACTTCGAAAGGTCTGACAGCTCTATTTTGTCTGTTGTACTTGAAACTTTCATGATTTGACGCTTCTTAATTAGGTTCTTTGTTTCCTGGGAAAGCTTGCCAGTGTCCTGTCTAACTACCCTACCTCCAACTTCCACTGCACACTCCGTAATGATACTCGTCAGATTATCATTCATTGTATCTACGTTAAGGTTGGTTTCCTCACTAAGTGGCGAGTACCTGTTCTGCAGCGACACTCTGAATTCCTGTACCTTCCCTCTCAGTGCTAGCTGATTGATTGGCTTCTTGCGTATCAGTTTCTGTCGTTCCTTCTTCAAGTCTAGGCGAACTCGAGACCGTACCATTCTGTGGTCACTGCATCGTACCTTGCCAACCACTTCCACATCCTGCACGATGCCTGGATGTGGAAGTCTATTTCTTTCTTATTTTTGTCATTAGGGCTCCTCCATGTCCACTTGCGGTTTGCTTGTTTTCGGTACAAGGTATTTAAAATCCGTAAATTATTGCGTTCTGTGAATTCTACTAGAAGCTCTTCTCTGGCGTTTCTAGTACCGATGCCATAATCTCCTACTGCCTGTTCTCCAGCCTGCTTCTTCCCTACCTTTGCATTAAATTCTCCGATCAGTATAGTATACTGTGTTTTTACCTTACTCATTGCAGATTCCGTGTCTTCATAGAAGCTTTTAACTGAAGAGTCATCATGGCTGGATGTAGGCGCGTAGGCCTCTACGACCTTCATCTTGTATCTTTTATTCAGTTTAATTAGGATACCCACCACCCTTTCATTAATGCTATAGTATTCCTCTATGTTTCCAGCTATGTTTCTGTGAATTAGGAACCCCACTCCCAGTTCTCTTCTGTCAGCCAAGCCCCAATGTCAAAGCACGTGCCCATTCTGTAGTACCGTACAGGCCTCATCTGTCCTCCTAACCTCACTGAGCCCTATCAATGCACATACGTACCCCATAACGGTGGGATCGTCGCCGTGGTAGCTCAGTTGGTAGAGCATCGGACGCGTTATTCAAAGTTCGCCGGCTTGGTCCCCGTTCACGACAAGTTATTTCTTATTTCTTCACAATCGCATTACAATCACTTCTAATAAAATCCCTATACTTATTTTGGCACAATTGTCTGTTGGATCTCATTATTATTATGTTAACAAAGTGCCCGCACAAGCGTGGTGAGTTAGTGACTCTATTATATTAAAACAATTGGCCCGAATCTGCATGTTACACTGCAAATGTCATGGAAAGATAATAGTATTGCGTCTGGAGAGAGTGAACAAAACGTTTATTTGATGTTCTGTGCAAGAAAATCGGTGAATAGTATTCTGGAGGCGCTGCATTAGAGCGCCTCGAGTGTGTAGCAGTGGGGAACAAGTGAATCTAGGCACGTTAGACACGAGCGCCATCTGGCAGTTATCTTCGAAAACGAAGGCGTGCGTGACCGCGGAGAAAGATGCGCGCCGGTCACGGAGGTGATAATGTGTAGAATGCAAAGCGACGGGCAGGTGCCACCCCCGTGTCGTCGTAGCAAAGCGTTGGAAACACCTTCTTGAGCATCGCGTTGCACTACCGGCGCAGCGCGATAAACGCTGCAGTCCTTAGAGTTACATGTGTGTGCCTCTTCTACTATAAATGCAGACATATAAAACATAGACGTGTTGTTATGGTGCCTCAGATGTGCACAATATTTGCTTTTTTAGTTGAAAATCGCACAACTGTGAACGGTAAACCTTGAGCAATATTGGTGAGCGCTGCGGATGGGGTTGGCCGTTTGGTGCCGTTTGAGGTATCGTTGGGACGTACAGACAATTGTACAGAGAGACAGACAGACAGACCAAACTTTTTTTGTCGAAGGTCTCCAAGAAAGACTATCGTCTTTAAGAACCAAGGTGCAATATTTGAACGAGCCATTGCGACAATGTAACCGAAATGATTTCTCCGGACACCTATGTCACCTCGTGACCATCGTCTCCTAAGTTGATCTGAAAATCAATCACCTTGTTTACCAGAGCTGCCGTTGCCACCCTATGGAAAGGTACAAAGCGGCACATGACTCACGCAATGAAAGAGCGCCGGCGCCAGCCAGCATTCCCCACGGCATGCGGCTCCACACGATGGTCTCGAAGCGCAGCAGGTACAGCGCCAGCAGCACTGGCCACATGAGCAGAAGGTTCAGGAAGCCGATAAGACTGAAGAACAGCGACAGCTGACCGAAAGTCACGTCGCCTATTAGCTTCTTGAACGTCACCTGCGCGAAAGGCGTCCCAATAAAACATTGCTTGCAGCAACAATGCCTTTCGCTCAACTTTTGCATTGCTTACTAGTCCCATGAAACACTAGAAAAAAACGGGACAGAATATGGCAAGTCTACCTGTTGATGTGATACAAGGGACGAAAGTGGCGCGAAGTACGCCAGACAGTTTTGGCGCAGAAACGCACGAACAAGGCACACATTTAAAGATGTGCTGACATGCCGAAACGAAAAAGAAACACTCCCAACTAGAGCTTACATGTCTGCTCATGCACGAAATAAAAGTGCGTGACTCATTAAGCTAACGGGCTGAAGTTGATGAAACGTGAGCTAATGAAAATCAAAAAAAAATTTTGAAGTAGAAATTATAAAGCTTAGAACTTAGTGAAGATATATTCGCAAACAGCACTGTGATTGAAAAAATCTGCCCGTTTTATTGATATAACTGCACAAGAGACAATCTGACTGCATCCGTTCCATGCCTCACCTTCTCTGCAGCACACTTTGTTGTACCGCTAATACCCCCCCCCCTTTTTTTTTACACATGTATTAACTTCCGCTGCTGTCATAAACGTTATACGTACGCGCAATTTCACGGTATAATAGTTCATGTCTCATCTGTCCACAACGTTTTTTTTATTTCCTGAATGTGACAATGCCATATTCAAAGTGTCATTTCTTAAGGTGTTTCGGATTTCCGTGCATTAAGTGGTCAAATTATGTTACCCTATAAATACCGACGGTATCGCAACAATAAGTGTGTTGGACGTAGCGACTTTTTGTCTCCGAGTGACATTTTTGTGTGTATGTGTGTTTTCCATGTGCTATTACTTCTCATCATATGGATTACGAATATACCCAACGGCCGCAAAGTTATGCTTATTAGCTTCTCATCAATATCAACCGAACATTCAAGCTTCCCTTGGTGTTTAGAATACGCCCACGTTTTCATATCAATCTTAAAACGTTCATTATTAAGTGCAATGCTTGCATATCTGTTGCTGATAATACTGCTCGCGGCAGCATCAAATTTCGTATAGCTGCCAGGGCTGCCTTGCTAAATCTGCTGAGCTGCATTTTATTTGCTTACTGCGTTGCGCAAAATGCAAAAACACCGAGAACAGATCATTACGGCATAAACGAAATGAACTTTTAAAGCTTTGTGACGACGTTCATGCTCACCGACTACATTACTGCAAGGACTATGGGCAAATCTCTGCGCACTTCTTCCGTTTTAATTCTAAAAACTGCGGACGCATAAAAGCGATAACATCACCAAGCGAACCAGCTTTCAACACTAAACCGAGGCGGTAGGCTCAGTGTTTTCCGAAATGCATCGATCTGCCAACAGGAGCCAGGGTATCTGCTCTATGCACACGCTTCTATTGATTATTGATCATTGCAACGAAACTCATATCTTTTGTGCAAATGCACGTTCTATTACTCTATGTGGCAACGCTGTCACAACCTTGGCCGCACTTTTCGCTTTCGTTAGCTTCAGAGTTGAAAACAAAAAGAGTGCTGGTTATGAAGTCACGCGTTTAAGGCAACATGCAAAGGTATTAGAGAAAAATTACCATGCATCGCAACGTATTCTGACACACGCCAAAAAAAGCATATTCATCTGTTCTTTGTGTAAAAATTGGCAGATTTCATGTACCTTGGGAATCGATGTTATGCGAACTATACGGAGAGAAGGTGACCATGTTGTAATTGTTTAAGAATGGCACATAGTGAAATGACGCCAAATATATTTAAATGTTGCACGAACATAGATATGTTAAACAGCTGCAGATATTTATATAACCACTCGTTTGGACTTCCGCAACAATTCCAGTAGGAACATGAGTTTTAGCAACGTCAGAAGCGATCACCTAATATGAAGCGCTGCTGCTCGAGAAGACGGTAACCCTGGACACTGCTGCATAAATAAACTTCAGTGGATAAGGCCTAACTATAATTATCATGAGTACATATGTAATGTTTATAAAACTGGATAGCCAGTCATGCAACAAAAATTGGTGTTCCACATACATTAGGGTCTATTTGAAACGTAGCTTCGATTAGGGCCTATTTGAAACGTAGTTTCCCTGGCGTAGCTTTGTGGTCGAATAGCTGATTGTTACGCAAAATGCTGGGGTTTGATTTTTTCTAGGACCCCGACACTTATTTTTTGCATTGGTCGGGTCAACGCTGCCGATGACAGATTTTTTTTTTTTGTAACGCTCACGCGTTATTATTACCTGTGTGTGTTTTTGCCGTTTATGATTAGATACTAAGTGCCAGTCACCTATGGCACATACTTGAATGCCAGCAGCGCATACCCGCCCGCGGGTATGTGGCACTATTAGGTAGAACATGTTTGACGACGTATGCGATGGAATTTTGACATTATTTATGTCCCGACCAGCGCGTCATATTCGTGAAACCATCTTACCTTGCCTTACTACTTTTGGTTTACGCCAAGTTGTGGACTATTAACAAGTATTTATCACAACGTGCTCAACTCATACACGTCAGGCAGCGTCTTCTTGCACGAAAACAAGAAAAAAGTAAACAATCTGCACTGTTAATAAATTTTACCATTTCACCAGGATGAGAAGCTTCATTTTCAAAATATTGATATTTTGAAATTCATGGTCATTTTAGCATTCACCACTAAAATGCCATGCTTTAATACCTGCTTTTCATGCAAAAGAAAATATTTCATGAAAAACCGAAACACATGTGCCGGTATCCTTTTGTATTCACTTAGCCTCGCAGCAACTGAACCATAACGTAAAACACACACTCCGTTTTCTTTTTTAGACTATAGATAACCAAAGAACGCCTGGATTAAATATCTAATTCATCAAAATAGTTTGTGATTTGCACTTTCGGTAACTTTTTTGCAGAATTATGTCCGGCAAACTATCTCTAAGAAATCAATGCTGCTTTATTAAATTATGGCCTATACCTATATTCACTTAGTAGTAAATGTACGCTAACAGTCACGACATCCCACGCCGTAACTGACGTTTATCATCCCTGGCAGCGGGAGAAAAAAAAACGCCAATTCTTTCCGCCCTTTATCTTTCAAAGGGCCATCGCTATCATATTCTCAGCTGTTGGAACACTTTAGAGACGTGCCACCACGTTCCGAAGACAATACCGGCGCTGTCTATAGATGCCATCAACCTCACCGACAGAGTCTCTGAGTTGGCCTCGAAGGTTAATTTTATAAAAAACGGTGGAGCATTTGCGCATTTTGATAAAATAGCGGAAAAGCTTGATGGGTACTTTCTCTTGTTTATGATGTCTTCCTCAGTTTTCCAGCGGCGTCACCAAACTCAACGGTACAGTAAGAAGAGAAGCCTAACCTTAGCTGTAGAACGCGCATGCCGATCTAACAGTTGCCAGAGGCGCCCGATGCAGCTCAGTGTACTCACTTTGTACACCCCGGAGCCGGCAGCCGCGGCTGCCGATAGCACCACACCACCGAGCGTTATGGTTCTCGTGACTCCGTCCATGTACGCCAGCAGCGCGATGCCCGTGTTGCACAGGATCACCGCCACAATCTGGTAAGCAAACAAAAGCGAAATGTGCATTTAAAACGCTTGCCGTGTTTACAAAATGGCACTATTTCTTGCTCAGGGAGCCAGGGTTTAAGAAGTCTATTTGAGCCGGCAAACTCTTTATCGCCACTAATAATGCTCACATATCTACAGAGGCGTAAATTTCTCGTCTGATGCTTCTTCTTCCTGACACTTGGAATATTGTAAGAGCACCCAGTCACCTAATAGCTTAAAAAAGATGAGTTATTTCATTGACACAAACTGATGTTATCAGAATTCTGTAACAGAAGAATGGTATCCACCTAAATCAAATATGCGCTCTGTGAAAACACGACGAAATGTGCCTAAATACTGTGAAAAACCAGGGGTGGAAATTCCAGTACTTTGATTTTTTTGGCATGTGGTTTGTACTATGTATTCATCTATTTGTTTCTACCCTTATGTGCTTTACATAAAGCACCTTCCTCTTGAGCCAAATCATTGGTTTGCAGTATTTTGAAATGAAAAAAGAAATATTTGGCAGATCCCACAGACCTTGGGAATCGACGTTATGCGAAGCATGCGGTGGGAAGTGGGCCGTGTAGTAATTTCTTGTTGAGCCACACGTCATGAAATGACGCTGAATATCCTGAATATAAATATATATATACATATATATATATATATATATATATATATATATATATGTGTGTGTGTGTGTGTGTGTGTGTGTGTGTGTGTGTGTGTGTGTGTGTGTGTGTGTGTGTGTGTGTGTGTGTGTGTGTGTGTGTGTGTGTGTGTGTGTGTGTGTGTGTGTGTATCAATGAATATCTGAAATGAACATCTGTATATCTGTATAAATGAATATCTGTATAAACACCGATACAGTGGGTACACCAACATCGCTACCTGGGTGTAATCATCGATGATCGCCTTTCTTGGCGCCCTGCTGTTAAAAGTGTAAGGCGAAAATCGCTGTCCCTGTTCAAGCATGTAGCCGCCTTAACTGCCAGGGGTGACGGCATTTATCAGAAGACGGTACTACAGGTTTACAAATCATCTGTACTCTCTTGCGTGATGTATGCCTTGCCAGTCTTGAATGTACCGCCTGCTTTAATGTCTCAGCTGGAACGGGATCATCGTGTTGCCCTCTGAGTACTGTTTGGCTTACCTTGTGAAGCACAATCCATCCCACTACTGACTGATTGATTGATTGATTTGTAGGGTTTAACGTCCCAAAACCACTATTTGATTATGAGAGACACCGTAGTGGAGGACTCCGGAAATTTTGACCACCTGGGGTTCTTTAACGTGCACCCAAATCTGAGTACACGAGCCTACAACATTTCCGCCTCCATCGGAAATGCAGCCGCTACAGCCGGGATTTGATCCCGCGACCTGCGGGTCAGCAGCCGAGTACCTTAGTCACTAGACCACCCTGGCGGGGTGCCCACTACTGACTGAAGCACAGCAGTTGCCGCTAAGGCAGCAAGCTGACCAGAGAGCACTACATCATATTGAGCGTATGAACCGAGCCCCAGATGGCAAGACACTCGTCAACAGGCTGTTCCAGCGCCCACTTTCTCGGATGGGTAAAATGACAGCTCTGTTCAATGACATTGCCGGCAATTCCGGCGAAACTATTTAGTTGCTAACATCGACAGAGCACAGCCCATGTGCCTTCCCTACCCATCTGTCAATTCCAGGAATGCGCAAAAAGTGTGTCCATTCTGTTTTGGAACTATACCAATCAGCCCATTCACACTTATTTGAAAACTTCGAAGACTATGCAAAAGTATTTACGGACGCTTCTGTACGCAGCGATGGCCTGAGCACTTCTGCAGCTTTCTTCTGCCCTTCAACCGATATCAGGCGGTTGTTTAAAATACCGCACCCCTCATCGTCGGTGACGGCAGAGCTAGCAGCGACTGATGTTGCCCTTCAGTACATAAAAGAAGGGTTACCAGCATCGAAGGTTGTCATCCTCACCGACTCTCCTGGTGCCCTTAGCAGACTCACCAGCAAGGAGACTGACAGCCCTATTCTAAGCAGCATCATGGAATCCGTCAACAAAATTCTATCACGTGGGGTATGCCTAGCTGCACAGTGTGTACCTTCGCACGTGGGCATTGCAAGCAATGAATAAAACACCTATGTGCAACTCCCCACTCAATTACGCTCAATAAACTGAATAAGCCTTGTTTCGTCATGCAACCATGATGAGTGTGTCCGGGAATTCCGTGTACGATGGACAACATTCGTCTGCTTATACGCCGACACCTCCTAAAGCAGCATCCAGACCAGCGTGTGGCGAACGCATCGTTCCCTCCCCATGTTCATAGCCGTGGCTTGCCTCGTCGTTCTAGAGCGCTGTTGTACAAACTAAGAGTGGGCTTTGTGCTGGTGCTTACGTCGTCAAGAGCGTGTGGACAGTCCGTTGTGCGCAGCTCGTGGCTCCTGCGAAACACTTGAGTATCTTGTAGTTAACTGTCCCAAGTTTGCTACGCAGCGGCCTTTGCTGATTAAGGAACGTAAATTCATAGAACTTAAGTGCACGACACTAGACGACTATCTCTATCCGAGAGGTTGTGCTTCTCGACGCGACCAGGCCCACCGAGCTCTCCTTACATTTATGAACCATCGGACCTGGCCACTCGTTTATAGAAGTTTTATTTTTTTTTATTTTCCTATACTTGTATAAGTTTTCGTCGTTTTCTTTTTTACTTCCCTTTCTTTTTTTCTCTTTTCTCCCCTCTTATCTTTGTTTCCTATGTTTCTTCCCTCCTCCCGAAAGAGTGAGCAGGTGTTGTGGCCCTCCAGGTGGCAGTTGCCAGCTTGCTCTCTCCCGCTTTTCTCTGTGTCCTTGTGTATGTGTATGCAAATCAAATCAAATAAATAAATAAATAAATAGATACTGTCAGCCACCTGTGGCACATGCCCACCCGCAGGTAGGCGCCATTGTTCAGCGGGAAGTGTTTGACGATGTACGCGACGAGATTGTGACATTATTCACGTCTTACCAGCACGTCATATTCGTCAAACCATCTTACCCTCCCATTCTAAGTTTCATTTTCGCCAAGTTAAGGGGGTGATCACGGGAACACCGAGAAGAAAGCAGATATATATATACAGGTATATAGACGCCAAAAGTGCTTGCAGTACACAAATAAATGCTACGCATTTAAATAAATAAACATTTTATTGAAGTATGGCAAATATCAGATAAAATGGAGTGAGAATGAAGTAATGAAAGAAAAAACTTGCAGCCGGTAAGGACCTAACCCATAACCTCCCCATTATAATTACGGGGCACTGTTACGACTTTGTAACTGAGCTGGCTTTCTCCCGTCCACTTTCTCAGAGAAACGTTTACGTCTAAGTGAAACCGTCACGTTGAAAGAAGGTTCAACATGACCAAAAGTTGTGCAGGGGGGGCCCCATATACGTGAACACACACAAACAAATTTGGGATGAGGAACAGCCAATAATTGGCAGTGCACCGCCCATGTAGTGTTGAGATTTGAGGTTTCGCTTTAAGCTGACGGCAAGTTGTTCTTCGTTCATCGTCATTTCCCAATAACTTATAATAACTAAACTTCACTTAAAAGCCATAAATAACATGCTATGCTTATTCTTGGCTTTACCATTTGTTAGCTTCGTGAGGAATCGATGTTTAGAAAAGTATTACGACGAGAAACTTGACATTTCATTTAAAGTAGTTTTAAATCGGCGTGGTTGCTTCGGGTATAAGTTGTCTTTGTTAATTTATTTCGTCATCACTTTAACTAAACGCGACCCATAAGATCCCTGCTGCTTAACTGGCTTTGAGTTCTGTCAGCTCACTGCGATTACAAGGACTGCACCGAGCAAAGTAAGTTATGTCTCACCCTGATACCGACGAACTGCTCGTGCAGGATGACCCAGGAGAGGAGGTACACGAAGGACACGTTTGAAGCATACAGTGCCAGCACGTCCGTAGTGTCTAGGATGCGTAGCGAGTGAACCAGTGCGTAGTTGGTCACCACCCAGAGGAGGCAGAAGAGACCGCACCGGGAGAAGAATTGGGAGAAGGTGAACTGCTTCTCCTGCAGCTGTGCAAGGGTCTCGCTGCAGCAAAAAAAAAACAAGGGTGTAAAACAACCGAGGCACACACATTTGTTATGAATTATCGTAACATTTTTATATGCAAGAAGGTAGATAGCATTTTTTTAATGTGAAGCAGCTTAGGGTCGAGCTCAATCTGGTGCGTGGTGTGAGTACTCTTGCTGCGCATGCTCGCCCGCTGCCCTTCTCCCTTTCCACTTCTATTCTCCCCCCTCCCTCGCCTTGCAACGCCGACACACGCAGTGTGTGCTAGCGAGCTGTTTGATTGAAAAACCGACTGCTCGTGTTACCCAGCCGTTCGCTGGCCACCCCGTACATATAGACACTTGATTCTGACCTCCAAGGTATACAGTGCCGGTGGGAGATTTCTTCTGTTCGTTGTTGAACAGAAAAATTAGCAGCGCGCGCGTTAACTAAAAGTGGACTGCGAGTGTCCGTGACAATCGGAGTCATCTGTCTCTCACTGCCAGGTAGCAGCGATTGGGATGTTCCAGTAGAAAACACCAGTCCATCACAGCGTGCTTTGCACTCCCCAGGTTTCTTTCCTGCGCCACGCCAGCGTCAACGTCGCCTCCAGTGTAACCGTGTGTAGATTCGAAGCAGTACAAGCGTTAGCGCCCACTGCTTCGGATCTTCGCATGGTTACCTTTATCAGAAGGTTGTGTAATTGTTTTTCATTATTACCCGGGAAATGTTAACCCGGCTCATTGCCTGGCTGGCTATTCCAGGTGCCGAGTGTTGATTTTGAAAGACACAACGATCACATATAAACACACATAACACGTACAGTGACGAAAGAAAGAAAGGAGCTATTCATAAAATTTTGTTAAGGTGTGCAGTCTTCTAAAACAGCAACATCGCTTTTGTATTGCACGTCAGACAAAATTTGCTTTGCCACGATTTGTGCAAAAGCCGAAGCTCCCTCCAGTAAGTATCTTTTATTTGTGTTGATACGTGATGTTAAAACATCATCGCTTATGATCATAAAGCCGTGCTTCAAATGAGGTGCTGTCTTAAGTATCTGTCACTAGTGAACCTTATATATATATTGTGTAGAACCATTACGAGCAGTTAGGATTGCGCGTTGTCATCAGCAAAAAAAAACATGTACGGCTGATTACATGGATCTACAATTTACAGATGTTGATTTCGATGCTCATTAGCATTTTTATGTCAAAAGAAATATACACTAGGTGAGTCAAACAATGACCACAAAACAAAAAAGTTTAACGTGAACACGTGAAAGGAAACTACACGTACTGCTCGAAATCGATCACAGGTCGTCACTATCGCCTTTGACAATTGCATCACTAACGTCTCTTTTCCCATGCTTAGTATTTACACTGATGGCACTTAAGCAGCCTAAATGTTGCCTCAAAAATGTGCACCAACTAGCACAACAACAAGTTTTTCTATCTTGATTTGGTATATACTCCGTCTAGGTACGTGCCCGAGACCCTTTATTTAGAAGAACTTGTCCTTTCAGGATTCAAGGAAACTGGATGGCGTGGCTTAAATTTTCAAGATAGATCAGGAAAGCGGAGTGCCGGGCCAGAGGGCATGTGCACTTTTAGGTAACCGGTATAGAACTGGTAAAAGAGTGGTTCCCAACCCAAGTCCTCTCACAGCATAGGTGGCCTAATTGATTAGTTAAGTGTACGAGGCCGCACTTAGCTACACTATTCAGTATCTTTTAGAAGCTGACACTACGAGGTGGCCCCATGCAGTATCAAAATAAGACAGAGCCCTACCGAAAAGAACGAGAGAGTTTTTCAACGACAAGCTCTGTTAGCAAACCACGCTACAAACCAAGAACAGCCTCAAAACAGATGACCTTACATGAGCACATTCTTGGCACTTGTTTTCTCTGTCCGGGAACAGAGTCGCCCCATTAGGAAGATGGGAAAGAAGAACGTGTTGAAGCTTGCACAGACCCAAGTGGTGAAGAAAGGTGCATCGAATGTGACCTGCGAGCAATTTAATAAACACGGTTGAGCTCCATTGTTGTGAACTTGTCCAAAAATATTGCATCAAGCTGTCCCAGTGGGCCCCACCAACTTCTCAAGGCCTTCCACAACATTGTTCTGTCTGCATTTTCCGTTGAGTGGTATCCGTGAGCTCGTATGGCTATCCCAGTGTAGCGGCTAAATGACCCCAGTGCCGCAGTGCAGATGTGAAGATGCCACCGATTAGACGCTGTTCTAAGTCTTGTTAACAACGTCATACTCCTAAGTGCTATCAGACTATAAACTGCCCTGTTGGCTTATCACGGAAACGAACGCCCGGTGACATTACATCACATCTAATAAGGCCGGAAAGCTTGACAATACCAACAGCAATTAGTTACACGATCTTACCCGATTTTCGTGATATGAAATAGAATATACGTGATCTTACCTAATGTTTACAATGACGCACGAGTCGGTTACGTTACTAATGTATTTCCCGCCGGACCAATCGGCGCACGTCTTGTGGGAGAGAAGCAAAAGTTGATCAGGACGAAACGAGTGTGAAGCAATTCATTATAATGATCATTTCTGTTCGCACCTCCTGGTAAGACAAGAGCTCAAACCTCCATTCTATGTTAAGCTAAGAGCTTGCCTTTTAAAAAAAGCAAGTATGGCCATGCAGAGTTTAGTAGAATAGTAAAGCAAGGAGTGAGGAAAAAAAAAGGGCTGCGGCGCGAAATCCTAGTCAAGGCCTGAATAGCTAGGTACCCACGTGCTCTGTTGTGAGTAAGCCTTGCGCAACTTAGTGCAAACTGGGCAATTTTTTTTTCAGTTGTGTATCAGTATTCCACTATTATTTAGTGCTCAAAATTAGTATACGTACAGTTATAGATACGCGTAAACAGGTAGCTAGCTACATCGGGCAGAAATTGATTATCTATTTTCAGCCTTTTCATCGAGCACCGACACGGGTAAAAATAAATGGGGATCGAGGTAGACTCATTCAGTCATCATACTGTCGTATACCTCGGTTACATTGAGTCGGCCCTCCCTGGTGAGCCTCTGGTTGGCCGGACTGTTGCTCTCAGCGAACGTGGCCTTGAGCATGTGCGCCGCCCCGACCCACGAGGCGGCGATGAGTAGCGTCATCACCAGACCCAGAGACACCTTGCGGCTGTTCTCGTTGCAACACCGCCGGTCCGTCCTCGTCCCCGGTGGCACTCCATCCGCCGGGCCGTCACCTGCACACCATTCATATTTTACTGCTACTCACTGCATTTCCTCTCGATGGGTCTTTCTCTACTACAATGTTTTTTGTTTGTTTGTTGTTGTTGAGAGCGCATATACAGCGGAACAAGAGAAAAATAGTGCAAAGAGCAGACTGGGCATTATCATCGAAAGAGACACGACGCCTGCGTAGTGCTTTCGAAAACGACACGACGCAAACATGGAACATTGAAACCAAATATGTGGCTAGAAAATGTATAAGAAACAGGCAAATTCCTTGCGTGAAAATGCATCATTTATAAGGGTATAGCGCACCACGACAAGAACACAAAAAGAGAGACGCACACACACCCAGCGCCAACGTGCAACTATTGTTTTATTTGTGATCACACATGCTAATTATACAGTAACAGTGGACCGATAAAACCTGGAACATATCATGCTAAGATCTTTTAACATATCATGTTAAGATTTTGGACAAATACAAAAAACTCTAATTGTTTAATAGAGCACCATATTTTGAATAAGTGGCTGGTCACATTGGTAAAACAAAGAGGGGACGACGGAGGTGTAAAAACGGGGAGGTTAGGCAGTTCTTAGCCAGGCTGGTTGCCCTCTATTTCAAAAGTATCCTAAAGCGAACAAAAACACGGCGAAAAGAGACATCACCAACAAGACAATAAAGAAAACGAAGAACAGTCTAAATTATATTAGCGTGGGCACGAGAGCAGTGGTCTGAGTGGGCACGAGAGCAGTGGTCTGAGTGGGCACGAGAGCAGTGGTCTCTGCACAGCTCTAAGCCGCTATTTCTTCACCATGCAGGCCTTCTTTGCGAACATCCTGCCGTGGTTATCAATTTGCTCTGCTGGCTTGGCGCATGTAGGTGCGCCGCTACCGACAACGAACCTCGTCAGCGTAGCCGATCAACACATGCCGAGCTCTGACGCCCCTTGGGTGCTCTTTGAGTATCCACCAGCCCCATCGACGACAGCAGCAATCGCCACCGACAGTTTTAAGAAGCAACACCTGGACACCGCCTTCAGTGGGCACGAGAGCAGTGGTCTCTGCACAGCTCTAAGCCGCTATTTCTTCACCATGCAGGTGTATACTCCTTTACTACACGCTAAAAAATCTGACAACCGCTGTCTACTGCTGTTCCCGTGCCCACGGGTGTTGTGCGAGACTCTGTGTGAATGTTTTTCAATGGCTCACACCTTGCTTTGTTCCGGCGACATTGAGACTAACCCTGGACCCAATACCCGTGCCACAACACAACAAGAATTTCATGAGTTACCCGAAAACCCTGCCGAACAAATGAATGTCTTATTCCATATGTTGAAAGACGTGCACTCGCGTTCGTTACAGAGCTCACAGTGTCAGTCTGAGCTTGCTATTGATGTAAAAGCAATTAAAGCCGGACAAAAAAACATTCACGTTGAAATTACTGGTATCCGGAAGCGGCTTGACGAATTGGAAGAAAAATCGATCAAACTGGATACTATGACTGAAGAATTAGCAAGTGTGCAAAAAGCCGTAGAAGAACTAACCGACGAGAATAACCACGTGCAATCTAGACTAACCGAGCTAGAGGACAGGTCCAGAAGGGACAATTTAATCTTTCATGGTGTTCCAGACTCTAGAGAAACGTGGCAAGAAACCGAGGCGAAATTGACGAATTCTATTTCTGCTATTCTTGACAGTTTTTCCAGCGAGTCATTTCAAAGGGTGCACCGTTTGGGTAACCCTTCACCCACTAAGTGCCGCCCCATCGTCGCCAAGTTCACTGACTTCAAAACGAAAGAGAAAGTGCTGTCACTGCGCAATCAACTAAAAGATAAGAATATTTCAGTAAGCGAAGATTTCTCTGTGGCAACGAGGCAGGCACGTAAAAAACTTATTGACTTTGGGAAAGCTCAGGCCGGTTCTTCACCACTTAAGCTGCGTTACAACAAGTTACTACTAAATAACAAATGTTACATGTATTTTCCCGAGTGCGACAAAGTTCTAGAGGTGAAAAAACGTACCAATTATGTCAATAATGCGAGAGCTTCTTCTTCTGTGAACACGACTACATAGGGTTGCGCGAGGGGAGGTGACCACAAATCAAATCTTCAGGTATCTGTCATTTTTTCTAACGTTAGAAGTGTACTAAATAAATATAATTCTTTATCATCAGCTATTGATACATGTAGCGCAAAAATAGTTGCATTGACTGAAACTTGGCTCCATGCGCATGTCCGCGATCAAGAAATCTTTGATGACGCAACCAATTTTCACATGTACCGTTGTGATCGGACAGTGCGCAGGGGAGGCGGCGTTCTTCTGGCAGTCTCAAAAGACACTCCTTCTTCCTGTATTCATATTAACACTGAACTAGAGCTAGTCTGGGCTATAGTAACCATTGGACACCATAAGATAATATTAGGTGTATGCTATCGTTCTCCCTCTTCACCTTCAACATTTGTCGATGAACTTCACGACGCAATTAATATAGTTTGCACACGATTTCCATCACATCCCCTGTTTCTCCTCGGAGATTTTAACTTTCCTAGTATAATGTGGAACGCATACGCACCCTACTCTTTACCGTCTTCGCCGCAACCAAATGAATTCATTAACCTATGTTCAACGTTTTCCCTGACGCAAGTAGTGGCCTTACCGACTAGGGCAACTACTAACAGTGCTAGCATTCTTGATCTGATACTAACAAACCGACCAGACTTTGTTACCGCTATAACCTACGCACCAGGTATCAGTGACCATTCTTTACTTTCATTTTCATTTAATGCACCCTGTCCTAATAGAGATAAAAAAAGAAAAAGATACGGGACTATAAAAAAGCCAACTTTGACAAGATAAACAGTGAACTAGCAACTTTTCTAGACATATTTCTAAGCAGTTTTGATACCCGTTCAGTGCAGTGTAACTGGGATATGTTTGCAGATGAAGTTGAACAACTAACCAATAAGTATATCCCTTGCCGTACTATCACAACTAACGCACGTGCGCCATGGTACAACGCGTACATCAAACGCTTATCTAACCGAAAGAAACGTTTTTATCGTGCAGCAAGATGTTTACCCACTAACCACCCACGCTGGGCTGCCTACAAATCTGCATCATCCATCTACATATCTGCACTAAAATCCGCTAAAGACAACTTCCTCACTCAAGTCCTGCCGTCTATGTTACAAACAAATGCAAAAAAATTCTGGCGAGTTATTAACCCCCTATCTGACAATCATATTTCCTTGATCGATCCATCCGGTAACGAAATTAGTGAAGCCCTTTGCGCTTCTGTTCTCAACGATTCTTTTATCCAAAACTTCTCCGTAGATAGCCATAATGATTTACCTAGCGCAACCTTGCACAATTATTCACCCATGTCATCCGTGATTATCGAAACTCTTGGAGTTGTACGTCTCATTGAATCACTTAAGAACGATTCATCTCCTGGTTATGATGGTATTAACATAAAATTTTTAAAAAATACTAGCGCTTATAGTTCCATTATAGTTACTAAAATTTTTCAACAGTCACTAGATACTTCTACTATTCCTAGTCAATGGAAAATCGGAAAAGTCGTTCCACTCCATAAATCTGGTAATAAACACTCTTCGAATAATTATCGTCCCATTTCTTTAACCAGTATTTGTTGTAAAATGCTCGAGCATATAATATTTACAAACATAGTCAATTTTTTAGAATCAAATTCATTTTTCACGTCAGCACAACATGGCTTCCGTAAAACATATTCATGTGAAACACAGCTAATATCATTCACTCATCACTTACATCAGATCCTTGATAAATCATCCCATGCTGACTGTATTTTTTTAGATTTTTCAAAAGCTTTTGACAAGGTTTGCCATAGACTTCTACTTTACAAACTACACCAACTAAACCTTGACGGTAACCTACTAATGTGGATTGAATGCTTTCTCACTAACAGATCACAATTCGTTACTGCCAACTGTCATAATTCTCCATTTCGCGAAGTTCATTCTGGCGTTCCGCAAGGGTCCGTCTTAGGTCCCTTGTTGTTTCTCATTTATATTAATGACCTGTCATCAGTTGTATCATCAAAAATTCATCTATTTGCTGACGACTGTGTTATTTTTCGAGAAATTACTACCGATAATGACATTAATATATTGCAGTCTGACCTTAACGCTATATCTAACTGGTGTGATAAATGGCTAATGGACCTTAACATTAAAAAGTGTAAAATCATGCGTGTATCAAGAAGTTGCACTACTTCACCTATTTACTATCTTAATAACATTCCTTTGGATTCTGTTAACTCTTATAAGTATCTTGGAGTTCACATAACAACTAACCTCAACTGGACAACTCATATTGAATACATCATTATCAATGCTAACCGCATGCTTGGCTATTTACGACGTAACTTTTTTAACGCTCCACATGGTTTAAAACTGCTACTTTATAAAACACTAATACGCTCTAAACTAGAATATGCTACAACCGTGTGGGACCCTACCTATAATAACCTGGTAACTTCCCTTGAACTTGTTCAGAATAACTCCGTTCGTTTTATATTGTCCAATTATAACAGAACCGCTAGCATTTCAACCATGAAAACTTCACTTGCACTTCCTTCCTTAGCATCTCGCAGAAAAGTCTCCCGTCTAACTCTATTTCACAAGATCTACCATCATCCCATCTTGCATGCCCAACTACTACTTCGCCCACAGCACATTTCCCACCGCATTGACCACCATCACAAAGTAGGCATCCCTTCATGCAACACAAAAACTTTTTTCAATTCTTTTTTGCCTCGCACATCAAAGGAGTGGAACAGACTTCCCGGTGACATTGTTGCTATTACTGATAACAATTTGTTCCGTGATGCTTTAGCTAACATTGTGTAATAAGTTCTTTTTTTTGTGTTTTGTTGCAACAGCTAACATTGTATATTTAGGCTTGTTGTTGTATTACCTAACATGTATTATTATACAGCATATTAACAAACATTGT